CACCTCACTATACGAACAACTCTGAGCTCTTCAATTGATCGCTTGAGATTGGGATTATGATTACGCGCCCGCATTACAGTTCATGTGTATCTTTGATATACATCAAGACAAACAGCGTCGAAACAAGAGAAGTCTACTATAAACTTCGTAACAATCATAGGGAAGGACACGATCCAAGAGGAGAAGCCCGAAAAGAACGCCGACACAGCAACGAAAAGCCTACTCTTTCCGCGCATAAAACGTCAAGTTCTTCCCCCAATCATCAATAAGGTCGCCGGCATTTTCGAACCTACCATCACCATCTGGCGACGGACAATTATCTGCAAACTCCCGACCCAGCCACGTCGCATTCATACACTCCAGCATCCTTCCAACTCGCGGGGTCCAAGTATCGAGCGCCATGATCTTCCCTTCTTTATGCCACGGATGGCTCAGTATCTCTGCGGTGATGATTGCCGCGGGACTTGTCGGAAAACACATGTCTGCAGCAACCTGGAAGACCGGTAGAAAAGCGGGCTGGTAGAGGCTTAGTAAGAGCGTAGAGGGCGTGATAGAGAGGTATTGGTACGGCTCTGATACCACCGTAATAGGAGGGTTGCACTGAGAAAGCATCACCATATCTTCGAGTTTATAGGCTATGTCGCGAGCTACAATTGGGATTGGGGTTGGTGTGGAAGTCGTGGTGGAAGCGGCGGCATACCGCTGGGAAAGATAGGTCGAGATGGCGCAGGCAAGCACGTGCTGTGTGGCTGAAGTATCTTCCTTTTGGCCTTCCTCCTCTGTTCCGTGCATGGTTCCGAGGGCTACGCACACAATGTTGTCGACTGGTACGGTGAGAGCGTCGAGCTGCTGTCGTACACTCGCCCAGAACCTGCTTTGAAGCAAAGATGTCTCGAGGACTTTCGGGATTCCTTTGTACTCCTCGGAAGAAGAGCAAGGTAGGCTCGCCTGCTCATCTGTATTCTGAAGGCTATCGGGCTTCAGCACCCTGGTATCACTGAAATCGTAATTAGTACCCTGCTGTTTGGGAGTCCTGATGTGATACGCTGGACGCATCTTGTCAGAGGCACCAATGAAGATCCCGCTGAAACTCAGGCTGACCGCGGGTGAGGCATACGGTGGGACACGCTTCTCCACTTGTCCACTACCTAGTACACGTGGTACAAACATGAACGGCATGTTCGGATCGCCTTTACGAACTATCTCGACTTGCTCTGCTGCTTTTTCGAAGAACGCGCGGGTGAAGATTCTTCCGTTGTCCAGGGAAGCTTCGAAAGCCCTAGCATCTTCGAAGACTTGTGGACCGTATGATTGACATTGTTTTTCCCTGTCGTCTTTGATACGTTGAGCCATGTCGCTGCGTTCTTTCCTAAACGATGAGGTTGTGGGGTTTGCGGGAGCTTCTGCCGATTCCGCAATGTCTTTCTGGGCTGACATGGTGTAGTAGAGTCAAGTCTAGGTTCTCAACTGCTGCTTGGTGGACACAGGTCTGGGGCGGAGAAGTGGAACCAGATAAAGTGCCTTTTTTGCATAACTTTGGATAAATTTGTTGCAGATCCAAAGTATAATTAACCCGGAGGGCGATGGATCCTTAACAGTGCTCAATGTCGAGTGAAACAGTGAGCTTGTTGGTTCATTGAGCGAAAGGCTTTGACGTTGGGACTGTGAAGAATGAATTTTGAAGGTTCAAAGAATACAACCGTTCATCAGGTGATGAGAGTTCAAATAAACATACGTTTATTCACTGGCGCGGTGATAACTATGTCCATGGCGGTAAGTCTTTGAAGTCACCAAGGTGGTGGTAAACCAGAGACCTGACCCATAAAAGCTTCATTATCATGACCCCCCACAACACCCCTTCACTTAAACTGATCCTCCGTAACACCCTTCCCCATAGCCGCCGTAGAACTAACACCACCCGACACCATCTTCAACAAATTATCCACATAATTCGCGCCACTCCACTTCTGATGCGTAAGCACATCGACCTTGTTCTCCGCCTCCGGCTCCTGGATAATCTCGCCGTACGCACGCATACCCTGCTTCGCATACGCCTTGGAGAAGGTGTCGGCCATGAGCGCGCTCTGGTGCAAACCTGCGAGCGTGATGAACTGCCAGCAGTAACCCAGCTTGGCCAGGCGCTGGATGTAGGTTTCTTGCTCGTCGCGTGGCATGGCGGCTTTCCAGTTGAAGGAGGGGGAGAGGTTGTATGCTAGTCTGTTGTTATGTTAGTGTGTGTGAGGGGAAGTGGGTGGAAGAAGACGTACTTCTGCTCGGGCCAAACGGCATGGACGCCATCGGCGAATTCTTTAGCCTGCGCGAAGTCGGGCAGCTTCGACTCCATCCAGATCATGTCGCAGTAGGGCGCATATGCGATGGCGCGGTTGATGGCGGTTTGGCAACCGCCTTGGTACCTGTAGTAGCCCTCGCGCGTCCTTGCGGCGTCCCAGTTGAAGTACACATCAACGCCGGTCAGGCCTGCGGCGATGGCGCGTGCTTCTGAGTTGCTCTTGCCCTTGCTCTTTTCCATGAACTCGTTGATCATACTTTGCTTGTCGACATGTACACCGGCGTTTATTGTGTCGATTACGGCCTCGTGGTATAGCTTGAGATTGGCCTCCTTCGTCCATGCATCTTCGATCGCTTGGAGCTCCGCGCCTGTCTTGCCGGCTTGCTCCGCGGCGTACATGAGCTCGCCCAGAGGCTGGAGGGCAGGGTTTGTGCAGCCTAGAATGTAGTGGTGGTCGCGTGGGTCGATGGTAGAAGTGATCAGGGTAGCGGCTTCTGAGTCGGTTCTGGCAACGGCAAGTAGGTCGGTTCCTGTCATTCGAACGTCAGCCCATGTCCAATCTGACGGTTGGAGTTCATCATCTTACCCATAATATCTGCCTGCGCCCTGATAGCGACCAGACGGTTGATATGCTCGCTGATGGGAACCAACACCTTTCCAGCCATGTGTCCGCACTTCTTTGTTCCTGGCGCTTGGTCCTCGATATGTATACCAGCCGCGCCCTTCTCAATGAACAGCTTTGTGAGCTTCATGATGGCTGTGAGACCTCCATGTCCAGTATCGGCATCTGCAATAATTGGTCGTAGGTAGTCTACGCTGGCGACTTTCGCACGGTCGGCTTTCGCGGTGGTCAGGCGTTCTTCGCGTTGCTTTCGGTCGTGGAAAAGCTGCGCCATGAATAGGTGGCCAACTTTGTTGGGGACGGTTGTCTTTTGTGCGTTAGCTTTCGTTCTCCGTTACCATTCATTTCTGTGACTTACATAGGGGTAGTCTGCTAGATCTGGACCTGGCTCGTCGGTCGATGAAGCTGTTGAGGATGCTTGCCATCCAGAAACGTAAACAGTGTCCAGGTACTTCGCCATCTGTGTGACCATGACAGGGTCAAGACATCCATATGTGTAGCTGACGTCGTTGTTCTACACAATGTTAGCTTGAAGCCTGGAGTGTGGCATGACTACCATACCTTGAAGCGTCCTTCTACAATCTCCCAAAGCTTCTTCGATTGATGATTGCTTGGGTAGGTGATCTTGAGATTACCTCTCTTCGAAACGATATCCTCAGCAGTAAACGGCCTCCTGGTATACCTCCATCTTGAGTCCGTCCACCACTGCTTAACTTCCTGAACTTCCTTCTGGAACTGCGCGTCCTCGGCGTCAATGTTCGCCATGATGAGTGATGTCTAAAATATGTAATGACAACAGAGAAGCTAGGTTCTTTCGACACGACAGGTGTGTGTATGGAGAAATATGAACAAAAAACAAGAGGGAAAGCTCGTCCTTTGATAAAGATGGCCAGCAATGACACCACACGCACTCTAGCCTCGGTCTACGCAGCCAGGAACCTTGGGGGGAAAGCCAAGCGTCTTATAACCATAGCATCAGCACCCTCACACCAGCACGGCTAGCACAGCACCCCAAAGTGAGCTCGGGGACGACCGGCTGGACGCACCATTGGCCCGACTGCTGCATCCTCGGAAGCTGGCAGCAACGTCTAGCGCTGGCCATGGCACTTGCTCGAGCGTTGTTTTGCGTTGCCCTCGGCCCAAGGGGAATTGACGTTTTGGAACGCTGACCAGTGTAGATCGGGGTGGGGATGGGGGACCAGCGGAACCGTGACGGGGATGACGTTTGCCAATGGTCTTGGGTCAACTCGTTGCAGACAGAGCTGCATCCTTCGTTATCATCCTACTCCTATATCACGGTTCTCATCTCGATGCACTGAAGATGCTGCTCGGCATGACACGCGACAGTATGCTGCAGCTTCACATGTCGACGTTCCGTCCCTCTGCTTAGCTGGGTTTCTGGTGCATGTGAAGACGCACGCCAAAATCTGGGGTCGCGTGTTCGTTAGCGTCGCGCGGGTTTTACCTCGGTTGATCCTGTCCGGAAAAGGCCTGAACCGCTATTGATCTGCGACTTTCACGAGCAGGCATCTTCGCTGTTTAGGGCGCTTTTGTCTCGGATAACACGTGAGTGGTGTCATTGTTGCGTCTGGGATATCTCGGATAAGGCTCGCTCGGCAGCAGTGACGATCCCGGCAAATGCTCGTGGCTGGGCGTTGTACCACAATGTGCATCACTGTTATTCGGGAAGTATGTTGACGAGTTGAATTGTAGTTAAGAGGAGAGAGATCTACGTTTCATCTGTAGCCCTTCAACGACTCGTACATATGACACGAGTACACCGCCAACGCGCTCTTCCCCAACGACCACCAACCCCAGTAATCCATCGCAAGCGCATTGGAGCATGCCGACCAATCCCTTCTCATCACCAAACCTTCTAGACATCCAGCTGACAGCAATCCCGGTGTCGAGCTACCCCAACACCTCAGCTGCCGAGTAGCAACATAACACAGCAAGATCCTGATAAACAAATCCACAAGCCCAACTATCTCTGTAAACCCAAAACAAAAGCGCTGTGCCAAGAAAAGCTTGGTAACGGTCCTGCGGTAGTCACAAGCGTACTGCTGCCCGAAGTGACCCCGAACATATCTATCCAACTCGGAGAACGGCCTGGCGCGAATATCATCTACATTGGCCGCGGGATTTTGCGGCGTGACTGAGTATGCAGGGTCGGCGGGTGGGCACCTCAACTTCTTGAGCAACCACCATCTCAGCTCGTCGAGGTAGCTTCTTCGGACTGGTGGCGTGTCCTCGTCTTTGAGGCGTATCGATGAGCGTTCTGAGAGTAGCAGAGGTAGGAGCTGGGGACGGCACAACCATAACGTCCTGTTCCGTTCGTCGGTGAAGATGCACTCGCGATCGATGGCCTCGGACATGTAGGTGTAGTGGATGAGTCGCGAGTAGAATGCTGGTGTAAGCACACGGATCTCAATGTACTTGTATGGCCGGTCTCGACCAGGGACGTGTGTCGTTGCGATCTTGTCGGTGGGGATGTTGGGAACCGACGCCTTGAACGTGATGCAAAAGTCTACTTCGGTCTGGTTTACGAGTACGTGTAGGTAGTTTCTGAATACTTTGTAGAGTGTTCTGGGATTGTCAGTTGCATTCGGGGAGTGCTTCACCCGTACTTACATCTCAGCGGAAGTGGGAGGCCGACCAACGCTCGACGTTAGCACCTCCGGCCGGAACCACACGTGCAACTTCCTCTTGAAGAAGATCTTGCCAGCTTCTCTGACAATGCGCGGGAACGTTACAAAGCCTACCCACCACCAGCTCAGGATGAACCGCAGAGTTCCGAGGAAACCCAATCGATCCGGGTCAATGGCCTTTCCAGTAGAAAAGAGACGAGCTACAAGCTTCCCGTGGTCTTTGGAAGATTTGAGGGTAATCGTGTTGTCGATCAGAGGGTTCTCGTAATCCACAGAAGGGAAAGGGTTTTGGGCCTTCAGCGCATACGAACCCTTTCGAGAGTTGAACGGCGACACATGGAAATCTTTCATCCATACGTCGGTAAACTTCGACTTCGCCCGAATAGGCATCTGCGATCCATGTTCTTCGGATCCAGACGTTTGTTCAGAATCAGATGTGCGCGGCGGACTGGCAGGGCTCGATCCATCAAGTAGATACATGCGTCTTTCTCCAAAAGTGTTGTTGACTTCGAGTATCATCTTCACAAGCTGATGTTCGCGATCGTAAATATACCAGAACGAAACCGGATTGAATGCGTAGCCCAAAAAGCGCGGTGCCGTCACCAGGTAGGCATACTCCCATTCCGCATCTTCGACATGCTGAGCCCGCAAGTACGATCTCAGTTTCCAGTGGAATCCGGACGCGCCGCCACCTCGTTCCAGATAATCCTCCGCTCTTATCCGCAACCACCATTTGCCCAAAGTCTGGTCATCTCCGCTTGCGAACTCTATCCCCTGGTATTTAGCTCCGCTAGGGACGATGGGAAATCCGCACTGAAGGTATGAGTATGCGAAAGCATGGCGTTTCGGAAAGATTCGAGCATGCGACGTTTGGCACGGGAAGATCTTCGGCTTTGGCGTTTCCACATCAGATCTCCATCGACTGATATCAGGCGTGTTCGCAGTTGGGTCCTCGTTGCTGCGAAGACTGCGCCAAAGAGAAATCGCGAGGATAGCTAGCGGTATTGCGACGCTGAAGACGGGATATGTACCAGGCAACCCTTCAGCCCAGCCCCTCCAATCATTCCAGCTCTTCAGCACAGTCGCAACCAACTTCTCTCTCGCCAACCAAGCATACAAAGCCCCAAGCACCGCGCAATCCGTGAGGACCCCGCGATCTCCACGCCGCCGTCTAAAAACACATCCTCCGATCCAAACCGCGAGCATCGGTACCTTTTGCCACCCATCCAGAGCAGCAAAAAGCAGCGGCAACCCCACAGCCGCGCATTCGAAAAGGGAAACTCCCAGATCGCGACCGTTACTAGCAATCCGCATTAATGAACGTTTCTGTTAGTATCACCGTGACATTGAGGGAAGTTGTGACGTGGATCGTTGTGGTGCGATAAATGTCAGATCGAAGCGTGGTTTGACGCTAGACCCATCTCATGAAATGTATATGCAGGGTCCCTGAGTAAAGCATAGCCGCCGCGAGAATTTCCCCATCTGGAGTTAGTCAGGGCCAGAGCCGCATTATCGAGGACGGCGAGGAGCTTTGATGAGACGGCGATGTAGGGCTTTTGTTTGAACGCCGACTTGTAGAGCTGGTGGGAAGGAAGACAGGAGGCTGAACCGTTGAGGAAGGTGGGTCTAGAGCTATAGCTCGGCGATAGGTGCGTCATCGGGGTTAAGTCGGCATCATCATCAAAGCTATTGCTATCATACCGTATGCTCAAATACAATCTCAATGATCAACTCTCTATTCCCCAAGTCGGCGCCATCGATATCTGAGACCTCTACCACCTCCCCTCCGCCTCCCCCACCCACCCATCAGTGCTCAGCGCGAGCGCGACGCGACGCGACGCCGCCCGCAGTCTACGCCATGACCGGACTTCGAGCCGGCGCCACGATTTGGAATGATACCTCTCACTCAAAAGCAACCAGCAGTGCCGACGCATGTCTCTCCTCTAACCCAATACTAATCTAAAACGCAAATGCTGTTGCTCCATCTGGACGCCTTCTCCCCTTCTCGTCCGCATACAACGGATCAGGAATATCGATTTCCCCCTCTTCCCAAGCACATGCCCCATGCCGCGGGGGTATAATCACAGTATCGACAAATCAGCCTGTCTCGAATACTAATCGCGTAACCGATGGTTACACTGAACTCCACGTTCTGGGGCGGCTGACCTCAGCCGAGAATCAGGTTCGCCTACGAGAGCGGTGTTGGTCGCTGACAGGTAAGCAATCGGATTGCCCAAGCAATGAACAGTGAAATCCGGTCTTGGCTTGTATTGCATGGCTGGGCGGGGCGTAAGAACTCCATGGTTGCGCGCCTGCTTTGAGATCTGGCCCTGAAGCTTTCTGCGCGTAGATGATCTTACACTCTTGTAAAATTGAGAGGTCTCAAATGCTGCCTCTGATCAGCCCAGAGAGCCTTGCGGATTTTCTGGTGGTAATGCCGGCACACTGGAGTCAGGAACTGTCGGTCCAGAAGCCAGCGACACAGGCCGAACAAACACAGGCGTCGGACTTGTAAGCGCACGAATACGCGCCCTGAGCTCTTCCTCTTCCGCAGGATGACCAATAGTAATTCGGTCCCGAAGTCCGTCATCTGCAACTTCCTTGGCTGGACAACAGGCCCGCGTCGGCATCTCCAGGGTACTAATGCTGTCTCTACGGAATCGCAAGTCTCTGTCGATTTCCACGGCAGGTAGTCCGGGAAGCGAGCTGCGCGCCCCGTAGTAATAGTAAGGGCTGCGGGATTGACGGAAGCCGAGTATACGGTTCAAGATGCGTTTGAAGAGAGGTTGGATGGATGGTGCAGATGCGCAGATGATGGCTGTGTTGATCTCGACTTGGGACCTAGAGTACGATCAGTAGCTGTCTCAGATCTACATCCTATACAAATTTACTTACCAGAAAATGATGTATCCCCCGTAGTACCGAGCATGCAATCCGCTGTTTGCCCAAAGATTCAGCCCGCAAAGCCGTACTGCAGATGCAATTGGGATGAGCAGACTCACAGCAAACACGGCTATGACGGATAGGCGTTTAGCTGTTCGCATGCGCAGTGAAAACAGAAGGGGCATGGGAAGAAGTAGAATGACGACGTCGGATGCGATACTCCAGCCTGCTTGCCAGTACAAAATGATCTTCAAGTCGAAACAGTGGATGGAGCCCCTGTCTCGCAATATAGCAGCGCCGAAGGCGACGGCGGGCTTTTTGGGACATTGAAAGGCGATTATAAAGATTAAGATGATCGTAACAGCGGTGACGATGGCGATCGATATCTGGACTAGTCTTCGAAAGGTTCGTTGGGTTGCAAAGCCGAGGTAGACTGGAGGTGTAGGGATTAGATTGACGTGCATCTGGGCGACGTAGTCAAGGAATATACTTACAGACGAGTATTGAGAGCTTGATGAGACCCATTATGAATTGATAACCGATATGGTATGCGTACCCTTCCAACAGTCAGAATGAGATTGCATTTGCCGGCACAGCTACTTACATGTTGCTACAGCACCTAAAGCGTTGCGGTCCAATTTTAACTGCTCTGCTTTGACCTTGTGATTTGCTTAGCATGTTGCTGTAGCACGTCTGATACTTTAAAACACATGTCCTTACCTTTGATCTGACGCCTGGGTTATAATCAACCCCGGAACCAAATAAGAACTGATAATGGTTGCAGGCGCAAAGCCCCCAAGTGAAGACCCACGGTTGATTAGTATATGACAGTTCACAACTTGGGTTCAACTTACTAATGCCGTTGCCATCAAGTAGTCACTTAGATTAACCTTTCTGATGATCCATCCTCGCACGTAGAACCTAATATTGATGAGCACAATGGGACAAGGGTAGAACAATGAGTATAGAAAACGAACCGAACAGCGATCACTACTGTCGAGAGGGCCACCAGGACGAAAGCTGTGATTTCAATAGTGGGCCGTAGATCGTTTGGGCTGAACATCTTGACTGCACCCATTTTTGCCCGGCATCGGAACAGTGACGTTGCAGCGGTATTTGCAGTATGGAATGTACGTTTGTGAATGAGGGTATGGACGACCTCCCGTCAAGTGTATGATACGAAGCACCAAAACTCGTTTCGATGCCCGGCACGGGCTGATCATGAATCGAAAGACTGGGAATACCCGTACACTTAGCGAGCCACGAGGTAAACCACGGGCTGGGGACTTGCGCTTTGGTAGCGCCACGATCATCTTGTATGCCTAGTCGAGCAGGGCGTTTCTCGGCATCCGCAAATCCGTATCCCCCACGACCGGCAACCACCATGGGCGTCAGTTTGTACCCATGTCGTATCGATTTCTGTCAGATGGTACAGTCACCGTGATTAGTACCTTGGGCTCCCAGCTAGGACGTTGTATATTGGAGAAGTGAAATGATGGAGAGCGATGTTGGCCAATCAATCAAGCTACTGCGTATGTTCACCCTTCTGCTGAACTTGATGGCTATTTCCGAGAGTTGTACCACTTCTTCACGGAGTTCGGTTATGCTGCTGAGCTGACACCGGCATCTACTGACTCCTGCGTGTCAGGCCATGCAGGCGCAGATGATAAACTTTGCACAAGTGGTAGGCCAACCAGAATGGCGAAAGCCGATGCGGCGCAGTTGATGACGGCTCTCATCTCAACAAGGTTCTGGAGTGAGGTGCGGTCGAACGTGTTCACGTGCTTTCTGCAGGTTTGTATTGGGGCGCCGTGATGGATGATGCCTGCAACCTGGGAGTATGATGAGGATTTGACCATGCACTTAGCATATACGTGAGGCGAAGACGGCTTGTGATGCTATGCCACCAAGGGATGATACCGTGTCTGGCCCCCCATCAATGTAATTACCCGCGGCTAGTCCGATGTTGGTGTTTGGCGGGTTCAGCCACTACGAAGCGAGCAGCCCCACGGCGCGGCTTGGAGCTGACTGGACGAGTTTGCCTTGCGAGTGCGTCAGAACCAAGCATGAACCGTGAGAAATTCTGCGTCCACGAGACTCGCCCGATTGTTGGAGCTTTGCCATAAACTGTCGACGTAAGGTCGAACTCTCGATCGGGAGCAGGGATGTTAGACATGGTAATCGAGGCCTGGTGAGCGATCACAAGAACTTGGTTCGACCACATGGAGGGGACCGCGGAGAAGAAAAGCGTGGAAGCATGATGGAAGCGCAGAGGTCACTCAACGTGAATGTCCTGCATGCATGCGCATGGAGGGATCCGGAGAGCGAACAGGCCGTGCCAATGAACTATGCCGTCACCAAGCATAGAAGACTGGCATTTCGATCAGCGAGCGGAAATGATGGTATACGTTTGATCTGAAACCTGAGCGAGACTCGTCGCACGTTGAAAGGCGTTGTTGTTGGCGGGCATTGGCAAGGCATTGGACAGCGGGCGCGCGAGATGAGCTAGGGGAAGCGTTCTAGTCTCCCAGGCACATTCAGGGTCTTGGGCATACGTCAGCACGCCGTGATGATCAACAACCCAAAGCACGAGGGAGAGGAGACTGTCAACACAGACCTGCGCAGTGCTATACTACGTGCAGACTTCACTCATACAGTCTGTTTGAATCCCTTGTCATTTCCCACCACTGGATCTATTGATATCATTCACTGTAGCGCACGAGAGCCCAAGGCCTGTTG